CAAAGGAGATTAATCAGAACTGACTTTGACAAGCACTGTGGCAATTGGACAATTAAAAAAGACATTCGGATGGCAGAGAAGAAGAACGAACTGGGGAGGAGGGTGGAGAGAATGGTGCAGCAATGAAGGAATGAAAACCCAAAATCCCTGTAAATGTTCATTAAAACTAATAAAATTTAAAAAAAATTATGAAAGTTCCATGATAGAAGTGAAAGTGGAAGCTGCCTATTGTTTCCTTTCTGTCAATTGGTCACCTGATGTGGGGGATTTCCATGAATTGCCTCAAGCCCAGTTTTTCATTTTGTTTCCAGAGGGAGGGAGAGCTTGAATGACAGCCTGATTCTCAGGGGATGGGCAGTGATAAACATCTAGGGGTATCTTTTTTGGCCCTGGCTCACCCTTTTCCAGTACTCCACCTTCAAGGTAATGAATTTGACAGGATTATCTGTGATTGGACCTGCTCCAGGGACCCATCATTCTGATCCTTGGAGTTCACATACATACTCATCAGCAGATATTGGGCCAACAACAGATATGCAAACACACCAGAGGTCAGTACCAGCTCAAATGTCAGGCCAGGCTCTATCTCCAATTCTTCTCTCCTCTGCTGTCGCATCTGGTTTGCCCTCCCATGTCCCCAGCTTTCATGCTCGGATTATCCTTCTATGCCAGATCTATTCATATTGAAGGCTGGTTGGAGTGATCTGCCAGCTAGCCACCTGGGTATCTTCGCAGGCTGGTAACCCTGACAGGTTATCATCTTTGTCCAGTGTGCCACATCTTGTGAGCATATGTTGTATTTACCTACCTCTGGGTCCAGCCTGTCCCTAGATCCAAATTCTGGTCCCGAGACCAGATTAGACTCGGCAAAGGTATGGCAAGTTATCAGCCAGTGGTTCACAACGAAAAACAAACACAATGAAAGACTAATGGTACTGGCTGGCATCCAGTGAATACTTACAATGTGATGTGATGTCCTAAGCCCTTTACAATTTATAGTGGTGGTCTTGTTGTTAAGTGTCATCGAATCGCCTGTGACCCATAGCAGCGCTATATACAGCAGCTCCGAACCCTGCCCTGTCTTAAGGCAGTCTCACTGACCCCCATTGCCCCAGTTACTGTATCAATCCATCTCATCCAGGGTCTTCTCCTGTGCTGTCCCTCCACCATTCTGAGCATGATGTCCTTCTTAAAGAATCAGTTTCTCCTGGCCACATATCCAGAGTATGTGAGATGGAGCTTCAAAATCCTTGCCTCCAAGAGGAAACTTGGTTTCACCCTTTCCAAGACAGACCCATTTGTTTTCTTGGCAGTCCAGGTTATGTTCAAGACTCTTCTTCAGCACCACAACTCAAAGGCATCAATTTCTTCTTCTGTCATCCTTAGTCATTGTCCAGCTCTCTGAGGCACAGCAAGTATGAACTTACATTGTATGTCCTTATGGGTAGGTACCCTCATGAACACGTTGTACACATAATGCACGGTTACGCTGCAGAGCCCAATTCTGAGTGCATTGCAGAAAAATACAAATATATATTCAGTCTTTGCTCACAAGAGGCCCATAAACCAGCAAGTCAAGCAAAGGTACACAAACAATTTAAATAACTTGGAAGATCATGTCTTTACCTTCAGGCTTCTCTTTACACAAAAGACCTACCTACCAACATGTGCAATTGAACACCGTACAGTTGATTAGCAAAACAGAACTGATTTATACCAGAAATAGAGGACAATTATGTAACCTCTCTTAATAAAATAGGAAGTGACTTGCTAAGGAAATATGTTCTCATTCTCATATGGGTATTAAGGGCTAAAAAGGGGGGGGGGGGAAACACCTACCCGTATCTGAGAAAACAGCATTTCTCACATCTAACCATAAATAGGACATGAGAAAATGGGATCATATCTGAAATCCTGGGAAATCTGGCCCAATAGATGCAAGCTTGATTCTCTCTTAATTTCTCTTCCTATCAAATTCCCCCTGGAAACATCTTCTCGAGACCAAATCCATTCCCCCTGAGTTGATTCTGACTCATAGCAACCGGAAGGTAGAACCACCCCTGGGTTTCTAACACTGTATCTTAATGGAAGCTGACTTCTTCAACTTTCCCCCCAGAATAACTAGTGGTTTTGAGCCACCAACATGTTGGCTATCAGCCCAGAGTTTAAACACTGTGTAACCAGGCTCCTTGTTGGTAACATTTAAGGGGCCCTAAAAGATGGTCTGACTCATTATAGGAGAATGTCAAGAAGTTGGCAAGCATTTACAAATGTAATGATGAATCTTAAGAGGCAAATTCTTAAACATAATGTCATCCCACTTCCTAGATTCTTTTTATTCTCTTTGGATGTATCATTAGTGATTCAGTTTCAGCCAAGCATCAAACAGCAATTGGACGAAAGAATCAACTCATGACCAAACAAGGTTAGCACCAAAAGAAAAGATGAAAAATCTAAATGACACACTCCTCAGACAATATTCAAGGCACTCAAGGCAAAGACACATTAATCCTACATGTAATTATCCCAGGAAAGTTTTGATGGTCTGTTTTGGTAAAATAAATAAATAAATGAATGAATGAATGGGGCATCTGACAGTATGAGGAGCCAGAAAGCTTACCATTACTATTCCACACCTGGACCACAGGGCTTCTTGACGAAGAATCCAGGTTGAAAAGATAAGACCTTTACTCAACAACTTTCATGAACCAAGTTTTTGTGGCAAAGACTGTGATATGGATTCACCAAATGCAATTTCTTTTCCTTCTAACAGACAGTGAGACAAATTCCCTCACTTACCCTCCAGTTAAGTGAAGCCACATGAATAACTGATAACCAATGAAATGTGGATAGAAATGATGATCACTTTCAGGTCTGGTACCTAAATGTCTAAAGAGACCCTCCACATACGCTCTCCTCTTCCTTTGTTCACTAGTCAGATACAGAGAATCCTGCAAGATGACTCTAAGACCTCTAAAAATGATGAGGCCACTGAAAGAGAACATGGAACAAAGCTCCCTCTAACTCAAGTGCACACTACCCTGCAACATGAGTGAGAAATAAACCTTCACGGTATTAAGCCATAGATATTTGCAGTGGTTTGTGACATAGCAGATCACTCTGACTGATACAGCCGGCCTGTGCTACCGTCTCACTATGGGGGGCAGTGTGTGTGAGCAGGTGTATCAATTAATCTGCAGCAGCCACACCTACCTTTGGCATTGCCAATACAATCGATTATCAGGCAGATTCCTAGTGGTTTGCTCTGCATCCTGTATCTCTCTTCAGTTATGTACTAGAAAGGAAAGCAGGGCGTTAAAGGCTGGATATTGCTCTGCTCCCAGAAGATCCCATCCACACACCATCTCTTCTCTTGGAATCCTTAATCATCTCTTTGGCAAGACAGTCATAGTTGATACTTCTCATTGATAGCACATTTATTTCTCTGTTGGAGCAGTGCGTTTATGTCACAGAAGCTCTCAAGTCCTACGTAACTTAAATAAAAATCGACATCTCTTTCCATATGGCTCAGTGTTACAGAATAAAGATAATGTGACCCAAAGAAAAGACAGGTCTTATGATTCCACAACAATCTAAAGAATCTAAAGATCTAAAGAACTGATACGAGGGATGTCTTTTCAAAACTTAAGGAGACCTTCTATATATAGTCTGTTCTTACAAAGAAGTATCAGGCTAAGACAAACACAAAGCAAGTCAAGATTCAGTGCCACCAACTACTTCAGCAACCACCCAGCGGAGAGGCCAAGTGTGACTCTGGAATTTCCCTGGACTCCAAAGGTCACTTATGCAATGCACTTCAACGGCCTTCTCCAGGATGCTGCTGTGAAAGCATTTCCAAGAGAACAGCACTCAGCACACTACTCTTTTAAAAAGAATTCTTAATGGACATATTGGTTTTTTTAAGAAGACAGTGCTCTCAGCAGACAGCGGACATATAAAATACAACTCGGCTCATTCCATACCCGAGGCAAAACTGCTCCAGATTCTTGAATGGACATCTTCACTGGTTCTCCTGTGAAGAGAGAGTCACAGTCATTTGCAAGGCTGAAGGAAAACGTAGCTCAGTCCCTGCTGGCTTTATATCATCCCCTACTTCCTTCCACAATCATTTTTCCCCCTACAAATACTCCTGTGAGTACACAAGAGTATGTGTTAACTGATATGAAAACGTGTCCCCATGCTAAACAGGGGGTGTATAGGATAACTGCCTAAAGAGCAAATGAGAAGAAGTCTTTTTCTTGATTTCTCCAGGATAAATGTCAGGTGACTGATGAGTCTCTAACCTGATGGGATCTAATAACTTCACCATTCCACAATATCAGGAGCCTTCTTATGTGATTAAATAGTGTATGATGCTGAAAAGGAAGAGCCTAGAGATGGCAGAGAAGAGCAGGTATGCACGCATTTGCAATTTATGGGATCGATGACAGTTTGTTTCTCTCCCTCTCCCTCGCATTGCCATGAAGTTGGAATCAACTCATATCTATCCCTCTAGTGAGTTTTCAGAGCCTGTAAATCACGTGGGAGGAGACCGTCCATCTTTCTCCCAAGAAGCAGCTGGTAGGTTTGAATGCCAGAGAGGCTTGGCCTTGGGATCGCAGCACAGTTCCCTATGGACTGCACCCCCAGAGCTGTTTAGTTCAGTGACAGTGCGAGATCATCAAATAAAATGGTAACGGAAGCTTAAAGCCTGGAGGACTCAGGAATCCTAAACCACGGATCTTCAAGATATTCTGTGGCACTTCCCATAGATGGGGATTTTTGTGGGTTTTTGTTGTTGTTTTGTTTTTTTCTGGAGGCCTTTCAACTTCAACAACTGAGAGTACTGCAGAACAGACCTATGGCCAGTGATGGTGGAATCTACATAGCACTATGCTTCGTGGTGTTCTGGAGAAAACCTTCCGACTTGTTGGCTATACTATTCAGTACGGCTGTGCAGCTCATTGCGCATTTGAATACACTGGTGGTGTTGTCACGTATTCTGGACCATCAACGGGGCCTACAATTAAAAATTCAGATGTTGTCTTTGCAGAAAATCTTAGTCAACAATTTTATGGTGTCCAAAAAAGTGACCTTGTGATTGCAAAAAAGTCCAAGTGATCCAAAATCAAATATTTGTAAAAGAGTAATTGGTTTGGAAGGAGACAAAATACTTACCAAGAGTTCATCAGATTTCTTTAACAGCCATAATTCAGTGCCAGTGGGTCATGTTAGAAGGTGATAATCTACAGAATTCTGCAGATTCCAGATACTATCGAACTCTTCCATATGGATTAATAAGAGGACATATCTTCCTTAAGGTTTGGCCTCTGAGTGATTTTTAATTTCTACAAAGCAGTCCCAATGGCCACAGATTTTTTTTATGATTGGCAAGCAATTATTCTTTTGATTTTACCTCTTGTTCAAGTTAATTTATTATTATTGTCATTGTAACCATGTATTTACCAATAAAATAGTATTCCATTTTTCAAAAAGCATGTAAATGGAAGGATGTGGCACAGTGACCCTGGCAAATGTAGATGATGCTAAAACTGGATAAAAATGAAGTGAGCTAGAGGAAGTCATAGCTGAAGTCATAGTTCATAGTTCTGAAGTCATAGCTCAAACCCTAGCACCATCACTGAACAGCTATATAATCTTGGATAACTTCCTTTCTTTGAGTTTTCATTTTTCATCTTCCAGATAAATTTGTTGAATTCCACCCTACAAGGTTTTTGCAGGAATGAGAAACAATGTCTAAAGATCAGCAAAGAAAATGGCTGTATTGGTAAAGTTTTGAGTGAGTGAGCTCTTTCAAATGCTAATGCAGTACAAGTTAAAACCAGGTTTTTTAAAGGCAACTCGTAATATCGTTTGAGTCATTATTCTGTTTAAGTTTATTTGAAGTAAACAATAGAGCAAGTGTGCAGAAATATATGTCAAGAACATGTATATTGTCCTTAAACTACAAAGAACCTAAAGTCCACCAATATAAAATTGGTTTTGTATATTAGGGCATATATAATGGAATGCCAAGTAATGTTAAAAAGGAAAAGGGAGAATTTTATGTATTTGACATGAAAAGGCGTACATAATATATTAAGTGGTGGAAAAACTGATTATTAAGTAGTATGTGGGTACTGATCCCTAGAGCTTAAAAATACATGTTGTTGAGTTCTGTTGAGTCAGAACCAACTTACAGCTGACCATCCAGCGGGTTTTCAGCACTGGAGGATACTACCTATCTTTCTCCCACAGAGCAGCTGGTGGGTTTGAACTGCACACCTTTAGGTTGGCAGCATAATTCCTTACCACTAAGCCACCAAAAGCTCCCCTAAAAATAGTTATATGCATAAACTTACATACATATATTACTTAAACATAAGAATTCAAATTGAACATTCACTGTTAGCTATAAAAAAAGAGTGCAAGGGCACAAGGGAGAGAAATAAAGAAAATAATTAGTCCCAAGAAACGAACAGGCCTTTATTGCACAGTCTGAAAGGGACCCAAGTGGTCCGGCCACATGACATGAGGACAGGATCAAAATGGCACGTGGGTAGTTTGGGGGGGGTTTCCTTTTTATGGGGTCCTGGGGAGGACTAAGATGGTACTTCTTGGAATTTGGTGTGTTAATGAAGTTAGGTTTTAGCTGTTTAAATCAAGCTCAGACTCTTAGCAGGACCCATTGTCTGGTCTGGTCTTTGATATGACCCACTTAGGTGTTATCAAGTTTCTCAGGAAGTGATCAAGCTTGGGGGTGGTGGGGCAACTGCCATATTCTTCCTTCATTAACAATGGCTATCTCTGGTAGCTGGACTTAAGATAAAATGTCTCCTTTCTATCTTTTTTATAAGAAACTAGTGACATACTCCACAGGAAGCTGCACTGCTAACCAAAGGTCACATTTCTCTAGGTAATTCAAATTCACCAGTTGACCTCAGGAGGGAGATGGGTAATCCCCTTGCATGCCATTTACAACCTTGGGAACCCCAGGGGGGGTCAGCTATGAGTGGCTTCCAACTCGACAGAAATTCACTTTTAAAATATAGTTGAGTGAGCATCTATTATTATAATTAAAAAACCCAAAAACTAGAAAAATCTATATAATTATCCTAACTCCATTTAAGGGACTTGGCAAGAACTTAATAAACTGTAGTCATCATCACCATCATCATCATTCAGTTGAAATCAGTTTGGAAGACCAAATAAATATGAATACTTGATTTTAGTGATATTGAGTCCATTTGATTAAGGTCAAGTTAGCAGGATGATTTTTCTTTTATTGGCAGATAAACTAACCCCAGGCAAAAGCAGGTAACTGGCTCTTGCAGCAAATTACCAAGGCAGTGCTTTACTCATTTACTAGCTAGCTATGTGATCGCAATCAAATGTAACTAGCCATTAAGGAGCATAATAGAAATAACAGTGGTGGCATTTTAAAATTTCTATTCAAATCTGTTAAGTCTTCAACTTTCTCTATATTTATAGAGAATTCAGAATAGAGCTTTCAGAATGTTGATTCTCTCCACTTTGTCAAGGGTTTAAGAAACATGCTGCTACTTTAGGGGGGAAAAATCACTTCTCAACAGCTTTCACTGGAAAGTGGAGTATTGGGTCAGGAGTGTCAGGCACAAGCTGGGCCATCTGGTAATGTGGGCAGAATGCTTCTCTGTCTCCCAGGGCACACAGACAACTTGGAGTCTGAGACATAAGATACTGGCAACGGATCTACTGCATAATTTCCCTACTCAACACTATATAAGTGTAGTGGTGGTGATGGTGTAGTTTTTATGTACCATTGAGTGGGAACCAACTTGTAGCTGACCCCTCAGTGTGTTTTCAGAGGCGGTAATTTGCAAGGGAGGAAGGTGACCATTTTTCTCCCTCTGAACAGCTGATGGATTCAAACTCCATGCCTTTGCGTTGGCAGTACAGTTCCTTACCACTAGGATGCTGCTACACAGAGAAGACTCCCATTAAAACTCTGTTCAGGATCCCCTGATGCACACAAAGCAAATCCCACACATCTCCTGCCACTGAAGCCCTCCTGATCTGCTTGTCAATCTTGTTTCTTGGCATTCTGAAACCCAAATCATCTGTCCTGTGGCCTTAACCCTCGATTTGAAGAATGCATCCAAGACAAGCAAAAGAAACCTTAAGAAAGTGTTGTTGCGTCAAATCTTGATGTTTTGAGAGAGGAGAAAGATTACATGGGTTGAAATAGCAAATTTTTACTATATCTTCCTTTCTTTGGGGGGAGTTGGGGAGAATAAAGAGATGTCACTGATGGCATACCCAAATACATCAAATAGTTATACAACTAAACCTTACTAACTTTTCTTCTTCCTGCCACTAAATACTTGGTCTTACTGATGATGGATCTGTGTTTAAATATGAACAAGTGAATTCAAAATACACACAATGAAATACTATGCAGCATGCAGGAGCAATAACTTTGTAAATTATTACCTATCTTGGGAGAGACTGGAGAGCATTATGCTGAGTTAACTATCTCAGTCCCACAAGGATAAATATTGTTTAAGACCATTATTGTAGAATGATTATAAGGATCCAGGAGGAGTGGGAGAGGCTGGAAGCAGAGAGATGTGGATGTACAGGGGGAAGAGGGGATAAATCATTGGGTTGCACAATTTGATAGGTGGGGGGGGTGAAGGAAATGAAAAGAATTTGTTCAAATTTGTATTAGAATTTTTTTAAATAAACTAGTGGGAAAAAATTTTAAAAAATACAAATGCCAATGAATAATTTTGAATTTAACTACTATTTAAGAGTTTAATTAGAATATATAAAGACATGGCAACATTTAAAATATGTACATAAAAGAAATGGAAACTCTAAAACCATGTTGACCTTGAATTCTCAATCATTTATAAGGAATGAATATGAAGAAAAGTTAGTCTTACTTTGAATGCCCAGGTGTCCCACACCCACTGCTTGTTCTTTACTTCTTCCATTCTGTAGCTTCAAATAAAAAGAACATAGTCACACTCGCTGTTATCTTTTTTAGAAGCACACATATTATTGTTGTTGTTTTCAGGTTCCATCAAGCTGACTCGAACTCACAGTAGCCTTATACACAACAGAACAAACACTGCCTGAGCCTCTGTTACCCTCACAATCACTGCTGTGTGGAAGCGCATCAGTAAGGCCAGATTTATTAGGATCTTACATCCCAAAGCAATGAACCTCCCTCCTTGATAGGAAATATGGAGGAAAAGCCAGGTCTTCCTCTTTTTTGATGACCTTCTACTTAATTACACCTTTTAAAATAATGTCTACAGAATTGTTACACTGTTGTTGTTGTTGTTATGTGCCATTGAGTCACCTGCGACTCAGTAACCCTATGTTAAACAGTCCTTAATACTGCCCTATCCTGTGCCAATCTTATTGTTTCTGACACACCTACCTCCATTTCCCCCATCACTGAATCAATCCATCTCATTGAGGGTCTTCATCTCTTGTGCTGTCATCCTCCCAAGCATGACTTCCCTCTCCAAGGTCTGGTCCCTCCTTGCAACATGCTCAAAGTAGGTCAGACAAAGCTTCAGAGGAGCAGCCTGGTTCTCAGCCTCCCTAGGATGAACCTGTTTGTTTCCCTAGCAGTCCATGATATATTCAAGACTCTTCACCAGCACCACAGCTCAAAGGCATGAATTCTCCTTCTATATCATCCCTAGTCATTCTCAAACTCTCTGATGCACAGCAAGTGATTGCAAATACAATGGCCTGTATCAGGTGCAGCTTAGTCTCCAGACTGACATCATTGCTCTTCATTACTTTGGAGAGGTCTCTGACAGCAGACTTTCCCAATGTGGTTCATCTTTTAATTTCCTAACTGCTGGTACCAAGAGTGTTGATTGTGGAGACAAGGAAACTAAAGCTGCGAACAATCTCAGTCTTTTCACCATCTACTGTGATGATGCTCCCAGTTGGCCCAGTGGTGAGAATCTTTGTTTTCTTGATGTTGAGACTCAATCCATATTGAAAGCTGCAGTCCTTGACCTTCTGCAGCAAGTGCTTCAGGTCCTTCTCAGTTTCAGCAAGCAAGGTTGTTGATGGGTCTTCCTCCAATCCTGATGCCACATTTCTCCTCTTAGAGCCCAACCTCCCAGATGATCTGTTCTGCATATAGATTGAAAAGGTATAGAGATAGGACACATCCTTGGTACACACCCTTACCAATTTTGAACCATCCAGTGTCTCCTTGCTCTGTTCTGATGAGTGCCTCCTGGTCCAAGTATAGGCTTCACATAAACACGATCAAATGTTCTGGGATTCCCATTCTTCTCAGAGTCAGCCACAGTTTGTTGTGATATACGTAGTCAAATGCCTTTGTATAGTCAACGAAACACAGATAGACATTCCTCTGGTATTCTCTGCTTTTAGCCAACATACATCTAACATTAGCTATAATATCTCTAGTACCATGGCCTCTTCTAAACCCAGCCTGCATTTTAGGAAGTTCTCTGTTGATGTGCTGTTCCAGTCGTTTTTGTAGGAAAAAACCCCAAAATACCACATTCACAGTTAAATTATCTAAAGCAAAAACCAATAACGCCACAAATCGTGTTTTATATAACAACAATTCTTTTCAAAAGTGAGATAACAAAGTATAAATATTTTAAACTAACATCAGAATGTCTAAACAAAAAAAATTAGATACTACAAGTTAGAACAAGCTGTTAGAAAATGCGAATGACATTCAACTTGTTCCTCTCACCCTGAGGCATGGTGTAACGCCATGGGGGTGGGTCTAGCCCATACCAACTTGACTATGATACTAGCAACAGTCTTGAGCAGGTTTATTAACCTCTTTACATCTATTTCTTCACCAATAAGAAGGGATGCTAATAGTATCCATCATGTAAATTCATTGAGAAGAGATTAAATGTACACAAAACACATAGCACAGTGCCTAGTACACAGAAGTACTTACTAAATGTTCAGTTACTATTTTTCTATAAGTGCCTAACAACTAATCACACCTCAGTCACATGTATGCTTCATGCGTTATAATCAGAAACTCCTCTCAAAGGCTAGAGTGGGGTTAATCAGAGTATGAATGAAAGACTGAAATAGATCTTTTCTCTTTTTTATATGGTTGATTCTGTGTAACGTACACATACTATATACTGTCATTCATCTGATAACCTCAGCTTTCAAATGACAGCTTTCCTGTGAAGCTATGCTGGCTAAGAGAAGAAAGTGTGATTTGTAGAGCTGTAGCTATAACTAAATTTGTACAAATTAAGAAAAACATGAAAACTGCTTTTAACACTAATGATCATTCATTTAGCCAGCAGCCAGTCCTATTAGAGGGGATATGTGTTCACTTTACACATTATTAAAGAGATAATCAGAACAAATCAAAGGCAGATTTTAAAAAAATTATATTGCAGAGTCATGCAAATTTCTTACTCTGCAGTATGTCATTTAATATTACTGTCATTTTGAAAGCATTTTTTCAGTCTTGGATCTTGTGGGAAATCTATAATTCATATATTACAGTGCCTCCTTACTAAATGAATGAATGGTCAAGGTCACAGGTTAAACAGATACAAATTAAAGAACAATTATACACAGAACACAGGGGTTCCCAATAGGCTACTTAGGCTGTGTAGGTTGCCTTTCATCTACAACAAACACACCAGTAAAAGCATGGCTGGACTTTAACTAAAAATTACTGTGTCATTTCCATGATATAGACAATAGCAGAGAAAGCTCAGAATATCTGATCTGAATACAAAATCTATCTTGTCTGAGAAGTTGACTCTTTGAAGGGGGAAAAAAAAAGAAGATATATTTAAGCAATGGTGTGACATGTAGCTGGTGTGCAGTTTACCATGGTGTAAGGGAAATGGATTGGGCCCAGTTCTGCCAAGAATCTAAAGTGAACCGTTAATGCTTTTTAGGATTGCATTTACTTATTTGTTAAAAGAGGGACAAATTAGTCATGCTGGACAATATAAGCCCCAATAATCATTTTAGGTGTGACGTTACTGCTCAGTGGTTTCTCTGGCAGTTCAGATTCTCCATGAAACTATTTACACTACAAGAGTAGTTAATGGACTTAGAGAGCAGGACGTCCGGCTCCAGAGCATTTAACTTGGAGTTGCGCAGGTCCATAGAATGACTTCCAAATGGGTGATGTTGAGAAGGGCAAGAACATGTAAATGTCCGGTGCCACACTGTGGATAAGGGGGGCAAGCACAAGACTGGGCTGAACCAGTGTGGTTTATTTGGGCAGAAGATTGGTCAAGCCACTGGATTCTCTTATACAGATGCCAGTAAGAACAAAGATGTCACCTGGGGAGAGGATACACTGATGGAGTATCTGGAGAATCCCAAGAAATACGTCCCTGGAACAAAAATGATCTTTGCTGACATTAAGAAGACAGAAAGGGCAGAGTTGAAAGCGTATCTTTAGAAAGCTACCAATGAGTAACATAGTTGGCCACTACCTTATTTATTACAAAATATAAATGTCCTGTGATTTTTTTTTACAGGTACTAAATTTAAATTTATCTCCAACCAGAATTTAGATCATGAATCGCTGATAGAATATTTTTGTTAGACAGTCCCACATTCAATAAGATTGGCTTTGTTTAAATTATTATGGTCACACTTTTATAATTTTGATAGTAATTTAGCAGGTGGTGTTCACTGTTTTTCCCTTCCAAAGAGATGACTCAACTCTAGGTTAGTTGGATTAGTCATACTCAGTTTTTATCTGAGATGGTGGATGCCACCTCACAATCTACAGGAGATGGTTTTTATATTTAGATTTCTATAACTGATTATATGACTCTTATTTAAATACTAAGACGTCTCTTTACTGTCACATGGAATAGAACACAACTCACCCGCTTCAATTTCTATTTTTCAGCCTGTTTATATGCAAAGGCTAGAGTTAAAGTAGCAAAGACTTTATCTATTTGCTGTTAATCTAATTCAAACTCCCTGTATCTAAAATGTTGCCTTTTAAGTAACAAAAACATTTCAGTGTGGTTTGTGTATGATATCAAAAAAGAATGTGTAACACTTTAAAAAAAAAGAGTAGTTAATGTTTTCATCACATTCTTTTATGAAAGTGTTTATAACTTGACCATGAAATTGTACTCTGGCCTAAGTTCACACTACAAATTCCACATACTTTTATGATGAGATTACACCAAGATTTACCTTCTCAAGATAAAATATTTGCGAAAGAATGATTTTGATGATACTTTGGACTATCTGTAGCTCACACAACAACTAAAAGTGACTATGTGATCTTTAAACCAGACGAAATATTCCATCACATAATCACATGAAAATTTTTGCTGAAATAAGCTCAGTTTTTACAAACAAAAAACCAAAAGCACAGAGAAGTTAAATTCAAGGATATTTATTATAACATTGCTGATAGTGACAAAAGATTGAAACAATCTACTGTATTTTATGCAAATAACACTAATGTAATACAGTTTTGGCCAGCCACAAAACTCCTTGCATATATTTCTTTTTCTCAGGGCACTATGAGTGTAATGCATGGGAGCATGTTATTTCCAAAAAAAATACAGTAAATACACCATGAGAAGGAGAGGGTTAAATTCACTGCGACCCAGTTAGAAGAGGGAAACAAGTACAATCATTACCAAAATAACAATTAAATAGAGATAGTTACACATGAAGAATTAAAAAAAAAAAATAATCAGATTGGAACAAGGGCATACTGTGGCACCATTTATACAAAAGGAAAAAACAAAAATCAATATTGGGTGCATAGATTTATCTCTGGACAGTCACAAAAGAAACTGTTTAACTTAGAAAAGAGCACAGCAAAATATTAACAGTGATTTTCTTTGCGTGTTGAGATGACAAGCAGGTTTTTTTCCTTTTAAATTTATTCAGTTGCATTGTTGTTAATGTACCGTAGAGTCTGAACTGACCCATAGCTGGTGGGTTTTCAAAGACTGCACAGAAGGAGAATGCCCAACCTTCTCCCACGAAGCAGCTGGTGGCTTCAAACCACGTGCCTTCAGGACTGCAGCACAGTTTTTGTCATTTACATTATATTTTCCAAATTATTTGAATATGTGTTAGCTTTCTACCACAAGAAATTATATACTTTTCAAAATATACATTTGTATTATCATTTATTTAGATACTAAAGTCCATGCTTTGAGAATATGGGTACTGCTATGAACTCTTAAATTGTTTCACGCTGCAATTCTACATATTTGCTCCGGACTCACCCCTGCTGGATACGAAGGTTCCTTGAGACTCAAGTTTGGAAGCGATGCCTGGAGAGCATTCATATAGTTTGTCCCTGCTGATGCTTGAGCTGATGGCAGAAGAGAGATACTGAGTTAAGATTCTACAGACGATTTTCAAATGAATCATCAATAATGGCTCTGGCCGAGGTCAATCGTTTTTCTGAAACAATTACATTAACAAAACATCATCTTTCAAAAGACCCTAAACTTTGCACGCACCTGACTGAATTTAAAATTCAGATGACCAAATGTCATTAAGAGTGGGCTAAAAATGCTACTGCTGTTCATGTTCCTTTCTCAGACATGTAGGAGTAGGTAGGAGGAGGAGGGTCTCAGCCACACGCTTTAGGCTGTAACTCTATGATGGCACAGGGCTGCTACCACAGTCCAAGCTGAGGCTGATGCCAAAGATGACATGGCAGCAGGAAGGTGAGGAGGGTGGAGAGGAAAGGCCACTGTGAGCCTGGCCCCTTTATGGAGAGAAGCATATCAGCAGATACTGAAGATGCCCTTTTCTGTGCAGCAGTTTTGTGAAACCAGATACATATCAGGGCAGCAATGGTACACTGGTTGTGTTGTTGTTGCTGTTGTTGTTGTTGTTGTGTGTCACATAGCTGACCCTCTAGAGGGTTTTCAGAGGCAGTAAATCGCATGGCAGGATACTGCCCATCTTTCACCCGCAGAGTAGCTGGCAGATTCAAACCACAGTGCCTTTAGTATTGTAGTGCAGGTTCTTCCCACTAGGTCCCCAGAGCACCTCATGGTACACTGGCAGCAGGATATTACCCAGAGTGAAGTGGTGGGCATGTCAAACCCTGCAGTGAGACAGGAAAACTCAGCACACACTGCAAAATCCCTGAATGTTCACAGCCCCTGTGGCCTGTGCAGGCAATCGTGGTGCGGACTCCTTCCTGAAGGTCAATAGTGTTCAGAACTCAGGGATATGAGGCTATAGGGACACCTGGTCTGGGATACAGGGAATATGGGGAGATACACTCTCTAGCTTGAAGCTAATGGGAGCTGTAAACACTCAGGATCAATTATGCACCAAGTACTTTCTTTTAGATCAGTGAGAAGCCAAAATTCTTCTTACCAGACTGCTTATACTTTTGGATTTTTTTCTTCAGGTCTATTCTGTGGATGTTCTTCAGGCACGTCTCTAACAAATTCAGTTCATCTGGAGCAATCAGATTTTGCTTCTCCAATTCAATCATAAGTTTCAGGAAACTCTGAGAGAGAGCCAGTAAGAAAGAAGGATTAGCAGAGATGACTATGAAGCCTCAAATGCAAACTTCAGGCCCTGTGACTTACAACAGCAAGAAAATGTGACAATATGTGCCCTATCAGTGATCTTCAGTGATGCTGAAGAAGACAGTCGTACAGTGGAGTAAGTGTAGTGATGTTAACCAACATATCAGTGGTTCGAATCCACCAAGCACTCTGTGGGTGAGATGCAGCAGCCTGCTCTTCTAAGGACTTGCATTCTGGGAAACCCGAACTTGGGGCAGCTCTACTCTCATACATGGTTGCTGTGACTTGGAATCGACTCAATGGCAATGTTTGTTTAGGTATTAAGGCCAAAAACAAGAGGTCCTTTTACTCAGGATTTTACTTTGAAGTGGTAATCACGTCTTTTGGTGGCCCAAAAGAACATAAGTTGGACTATTCTTTGTCGTCAAGGACTTCTACCTGTGAAAGCAGCCTAAAAATAAAATCTTGCTGACTTTATTCTCTTCTAAAAGGCGAGGCTGGTGCTCTACTGAAAAACCCTAAGGGATTCCCCTTAGAAGATAGCTGGGGAGAAAAAAAATTTTTTGTGAAAAAAAAAAAACCCAAACACCTCAATTATACAGAGCTAAAATTCTCAAAAAACCTTATCAGTGCTGGGCATTCCAACTCATCTGACTCAGGGAGTCAGGGAGAGACACACGTTTCAGAAAGACCAGAACATTTTGTTGCTCATTTGTCTTGGCCTCAGTAATTGGAAAATGATTATATTTCAGGAACAGACATGCTTTTGGTTTTACTTCCCTGTGCTTGAGCCCAGCCAGTGGATGGTGTGAGGCTGGTAGCGGCCCCAACGCACCAGGTGCGGGTCTTCCCAAAGTCAGTTAGCTTGAGAAGGCAGCCCGAAGAGGGTAGTTAACTCCATCTAAGCCTAAATATCGGCACAAGACCGACAATCAACAAGTAGAGGAAGAAAAGAACTTTGAGCATTTGGTCACTGTGGTGGTGTTCTTCTTAGAAGTAATTATTGTTATGATCGCCTCTCAGCCTTTTGGCTAAGAGCAAGCGTAAAAATAATAATTGTTGTTATAAAAGTCATAATTAAACATTTATAAATAAACGACTGGAAAACAGGTGAGTCAGGAGCCACCAAAAAAGAAGTTCCAGCTTTTGTTTTCTTTTCCTTTGCAAATTACAGTAGGACATACAGAGCCAATTTCACAAGTAGCACTACAATCATTATAGAGCAGAGGAAACTCTGAAGCAGTGGCCCATCGAGTCCTTAGAGGCAGGCCAACCACTAAAGTCCTATTTTCATAAATAAGAACTAAGTTCTTCCTGGCCTGTCCTTAGGTCAGCAATATCATGCAAGACCAAATAAAATTCAAATAGTCTTCTAGAAATCACATTATCCTTGGAATGACCATCCCCACCTAGTTCTCAATCCCTAATCTCTACTTTCACTAATTCCCAGATACATGACCATAAGGACCTACCCCACACTCCCACCTTCACATGCAGCCTTCACACTGACCTTGACTAGCTGAAGAGAAAGAGATGGCCATAGGGAGACATGGTACCTCACTTATTTCTGATCAGCATGAGTAGATGGGACTTTCTATGAGTCCCAGATCTGTCAAATCAGGAGAAAACTGATGTATAAACTAGGACTATGGATACTGCAGAAATAAGGATTAAAAAAACCCCACTTGAGGCCACTACAAGATATTACCCTATTTCCTCTCAGTTCAGAAACTAATTTTTTTCCTATAGATGTTATTATGGAAAAACCCACCTCCTTCCTTCCCCTCCAGTGTGGCCTCCCTGCGCAGACAGACATCTGTCTGCCACCCTCAGGCAACAGAGTGCCTGCTTCCCTTTCTCATACTCTAAGGAACAGCCTCTAACTTCTCAGAGCTCTTGGAAATATGAGTCAAGAAACAGAAAAGTCACCTTATCCTTGGCTAGTTTGCCTCGGCCTACGTAATCCTGAGTGAGAAAGATTAATGAAGACACATCAGATTTGCACAATTCTTCACTAATCTCTGTCAGCAGCACCCTGTAAACCAGAAAACAAAAGGGGGGGGGGGGTTAGGGTTTTTCAGTAAATTCAGTATCTGTCTTAGGAAAGCACCAAGCTTAGGTCTCTCCTAAACCAACTGGTTAAAAGATTGGGTTTTGTCCTCCGGTTCTCAATATGTGGATGCACCCCTCATATAAAGCAAAAAGCCTAAAGCACCCTAAAAAAGACCCTGTTGTTGTATATTGCTGAATCAAAACCAATGCATAGCTGACCTTCCAGTGGGTTTTCAGTGGCAATTTTGATCACACGGGAGGAAACTACCCATCTTTCTCCCTCAGATGAGCTGGTGGATTTGAACTGCATGCCTTTGAGATTGCAGTGCAGCTCCTTACCACTAGGCCACCAGAGCTCCCAGAAAAGAAATAAATGAGACCTGACATGGACTCAAAAAAAGGATGTTTATCTTTCCCCATGTTATTAAAAGGAGGGCCCTTCTTTCCCAATTAACAGCTCTGAAAACAAAATTTACCTAAAGAATCCCCCAACTCTCCCAGAAGTTATTGTGAAGTAAGTTAAGAGCCTAAATGACTAACATGAAAGCAGAAATAGAATTCAAAATTACTTTGTCTTTTCTGTTTTAACAGCACATTTACCCCAAAAAGAATGTGTAATAGTAACCAGGAATGTGTAATATTAACTCAACACCTGGTTAACTCCAAATGAGTCCTATACCCTGGATGTTTCTGTCCCAGGTACTCAATTCTTTCAAGTCCATAGTAATGTTCTTAAGGCAGAGCTTTTCAAATGTATATATGTACACAAGTCATTCAGGTATCTGATTAAATTGTAGATTTTCATTTAATAGGTCTAGGGTAAGGCCCGAGGGAGCTCTGGTGGCCTAGTGGCAAAAAGCTGCACTGCAATCCCAAAGGTATGTGGTTCGAGGCCACCAGCTGCTCTGTGGGAGAAGGATGGGCAATCTCCTCCTGTGCAATTAACAGCCTCTAAAAACCCTCCGGAGGGTCAGCTATGGGTTAGTTCCAACTCTGTGGTACACAACAACAAGAAGAAAAAGGCCTGAGATTCTGGTTTTCTAACAAGCCCCTAAGTGGTGCCAATGGTGATACAGGGACCATACTTTGAGTAATACAATTCTAAAGCAAGGAAACACCTGAGATATCCTGTCCCACTCCTGAATTCAAAGAGTAAAAACCATCGGGAGCATAAAGATTTTTACTACAAACATCTTTGTATAAAAAGCCCTTCCTAACACAGTCACCCATGCTCCAAGTAGAGGTAGTGTAACACTTGATTGAATCTCTTTACCATCACACTGTCATCCCTACTTAGAAAACTGTTTCCCCAATGACATTCTAAGATTTCTAACACCTTGTTTGTGTAGTTAATGTTCTTCCAATTAAAAAAAAAAAAAGCTTTCACGAAACTGACATTAAGTTACTTGGACAAGTGAAAGATGATCAAGAATAACTATAACAACAATAACAAACTCTGGCATTTGTGGGTGCTTCCAAGTTTTAAAAAGCACTTCACTTTTTCTAAATCATCACTGTTGGTCCTCACAACAGCCTTGTGAGATTGGGAATTATTATTCTTAGCTGTCCAAGTAGGAAAATTAAGACCAAATTGAGATCAGTGACTAGCTCAGTCTAAAAAGTATCAGTCATTGCCATGAGTGGAAGGAGCTGCACTGCCACCTCTCAGGCAGGTGGTTCCAAGGCCCAACGGTTCCACAGCAGAGAGGTGGGTAATCTCCTCCCATGCAATTTACAGCCTCTGAAAAGCTACTGGTCAGTTATGAGCTGGTTTCAACTCAAAAGGTACACAACAACACCCCTTTTAAGTTTATAAGTTTTTTTCTATTTCTCCAGAAACTGCCTTTCCACAGTCTTTGGGGCTCCTTTGAGGCTCTAAGGCATTATTATCTAAGTAAGAAGAAGGTGCAATTCAATCTACCTGATCTAAAAAAGATTTTAATAAGTCACTATTCCCTCTTTTACCTGATAGCAGCTTCCCCCGACTCCTGCCTTCTGCTATTGCTATTAATTGCTGTCAAGTTGACTCCTATTCTTGGTGACCTTATGGTTGCACAGAGTCTCAGGACGGTGGAGAACTCACAGGAAGGGAGCCCACCCTAACACAATTCCCCAGCAGGAGAGGAACCAATGCAAATTTTAATAGAGAACATTAGCTCTTCAAAGATCAGAACATTTTCTATCAAACTTATTTTCTTTCTCAGCACCAAAAATCAGCAGGTTCTGATTTTGTTACCAAAATAAATAAATAAAAACCAGCTAGCAAATTATCTCTACAGATCTCACACTGTCACAGGCCTTGAGAAGAGGTGGTAAATTCTCTTGAGTTACCTATAGTCCGAGATAAGGTGAGGGTGTCCACACAGGCGGCTCTCCACAGCTGCTTTGTCCATCTGCATGATCCTCTTGAGCAAGTCAAAGCGCCTCACTCTGTACAGTAGCTCAGCCAAGCCCATGAAGGACAGCTTACCTCTGCTGCTTAAACTATACAGAAGGTCCCTAACATTGAGTGGAGCCATATCCACAGCAACATCCCGGCACAGAAAGAGCAACATTTCCTCTTCATCTTCATCCAGGGCCTCTTCGACTTGATGGATGAGCGTGGCGGACACCCCGGGCAGTGTCATTCCAAGGGGGTAGAGTACCAAAGCTCCAGTCCATTCAACAAAAAGCCAAAAGGCTGCTAACTTCATTTCTGATGGTTTTCTTCATTTCTTTCAGAATCCTTACCAGTGGAGGAGTTCTGTGGTTAAAAAGGAATTTTTTTAAAAAAATCTTTTAATCAAGGTAAATAAATGGGGGTTCTTCTTTTCTTACTGGTCTACTTTTCTTTCTACTGCTCTGGAAGTTTACATTCAAGGTTAAGGCTCCCAAAAGGGATCTTTAGTAGTTCAAGTGACTAATTCAAAAACTTAGAGAGACTGATAAATAATTTACATTTTTAAATTATGAAACAGAAACAAAACATCATTTCTGAAAAATCCCATGTCCTTTACCAGAACTTACCAGAATGGAAAGCATAGTAAGGGAGAAATGACAGTGAAACAACTAAAGTGCTAATAAAATATCTAAGTGGGAGGAAGAAGAAGCCACTGACTAAGTTGCTAGGACTACAACAACTAAAGTCACAAGGGCAGAGTCACACATACGGTGACCCGACCCTGGTGGGCTTGAATAAATAAGAATGTCTGTAAAAGGGACCTTTTCTGTAAGATCTTAAAGGAAAAGAGAAAAGTTTCTTTTCCCAATGACTTTCTTACTTTAATGGCCTTCATTCAGATTTAAAATCAGAAATCTCTACAGCCATCCTTCCAAAAATCCCAGGCCTTCTCACAGTCTTTCTGTCAGTCACACACATTCAGCAAGAGAACTGACATGCTTTCTCTCCTCTGAGCTAATGGGGCACAGTTTGGAAAAATGAAAATTAGTCAGTGGCAGCAGCTGGTGTACTCAGGAAAAAAATATCAAAAGGAAAACTACAGATCCTTGAGCTGAGCCAGACCAGCTGACATAGCTAAATATTAGCATGTTTAAGTTAACAAATAGGTCTGGATTTCGAAGCTCTGTCTCACATACTTAGGGCATGTGGCCACGAGGGATTAGTCCTTGGAGAAGGACATCATTCTTGGAAAGGTAGAGACAGCACAGTAGAGGAAGGCCTCAGATGAGATGGGTTGACTCAATGACTGGGGTAATAAGTTAGGGGTTTTAGAGTCAGTGAGACTGGCTCAGGATAGGGCAGGGTTCAGAGCTCTTGTATATAGGGTTGCTATGAGTTGCAGGCGACCTGATAGCACATAACAATAAGAAGTTAGGATGAGGTTGGAAGCAGTTAATGGTATCCAGAGATTATGGCACTTGTATAGATGATTATGGAACAAAAAGGCAGGAAGAGAGTCCAAACAGTCACTGCTTTGTTATGTGCCATCGAGTCACTTGCAACTCACAGTGACCCTATGTACAATAGCCCTAGACTCTGCTCTGTCTGTACCAATCTCGCTGTCTCAAACACACCCACCCTAATTACACCAGTTACTGAATCAATCCACCTCATGGAGGGTCGTCTCCTCCTGCGCTGTCCCTCCACCCTCCCAAGCATGACGTCCCTCTTCAAGGACCGGCCCTTCCTGACCAAAGTATGTCAGACGAAGCCTTAGAATCCTTGCCTCCAAGGAGCATTCTGATTTAACCGTCTCCAGGACGAACCTGTTCATTTTCTTAGCAGTCCATGGTATATTCAATACTCTTCTCCAGCACCACAGCTCAAAGGCATCAACTCTCCTTCTATCCTCCCTAGTCATTGTCCAG